GAGCCTCCCAGGGCCCTGCCTCGCTGGCCAACTTCTCAGAACAGGCTGCCGAGCCAGCTTTGCCGAGTGATGAGGATCCTTCCCCGTCGTCGCGTCTGAAGCTCGCCCCATCCGTCACCTCTTTAGCCAGGCTCACCCAGAATCTTCCCACTCAGACTTCCTTGGCCACCCACATGCCGGCCCCGACTGTCGGCACATCAGCCACCAAGGTGACGGATGCCAGCTCTGAGCCTAGGACCACGCTGTCAGCTATTTTACCCATTTCAAGTAGCTCATTCGCCTCCACCAGTGAGAATGCCCATCTGGACAATAAAATCGTTGTTCAAGTGATTTACTGGTAAGGAGCTTTCTCCACCCAAATCTCGTCTTTCTTTCCTGGGCATAGGTGCTGGGACTCTGAGGGGTCTGGAATAAAGGGAGAGTCCCAACTCCCAGATTATTAGAAACTCCAGTCACCCCTCCTTCTCAGTGGGGAAATCTGTCCTGCTCAGCGATGCAGTTCCTGGCTCTGAGTGCCATTCATTCACTTTGATTGGTTGACACCTGTGTTGACTGAGTGGAGGGCTGTACATGCTTCTCTAGGAGGGGCTACACCTCTGACCTCATGTCAGCATACATTAGTGCTCTGTGGGAGGAAAAGGGAACCTCACACAGAATCTCTGGGATGGTCTTTCTGAGGAGGTGACTAAGGGAGATGGTGAAAGGGGATCAAAACAGCTAGAGATTCTAAACAGTGTTGAGGTACAGAGAGCTGTCCCAGACCTGAGCCCACCTTGTGTCATCAGTAACACTAAAAGTAACCTTTCTTAACACCCTTGGGACTCAGGGCTGAACTAGGTTAGAGAAACAGGGCCTTTGCCGCCTCCAAATCTTGCCTCTCTCTCCAAATCTTGCCTCTCTCTGAATGCTCTTTGCACCCTTATCTCTCCCTATCTCACTTTTTATGCTATCCTAGCGCTGCCCAAGATGTCCTGGTGGCACGCTGTGTTAAGCATTGCCCCTCTAACTGAAGGGAAGTTGGAACCCACTAACTGCTTCTGCACAAAATCAAAGATGGCAGCCTTTAATGTGGATTACAGCTCAACATCAAGAAAATTACAATCCTCACCACTGGGACAATAGGCACCATCATGATAGATGGCGAGAAGACTGAAGTTGTCAATGATTTCATCTTACTTGGGTCCACAGTCAACACTCTTGGTACTCGCAGTCAAGAAATCAAAAGATATGTTACATTGGGTAAACCTGCTGTCAAGGACCTCTCGAAAGTGCTAAAGACCAGTGATGTCAGTTTAAAGACTAAGGATCCAAGATATTCACTGTACGTTTGAAAGCTGGACAGTGAATAAAGAGAACAGAAGAATCACTGATCCCTTTGAGTTGTGGTGTTAGAAAACAGCACTGAATATTCCGTGGACTGCCAAAAGGACAAACAAATCTGTCTTGGAGAAAGTGCAACGAGGGTGCTTCTTGGAGGCAAGGATGATGAAACTCGGCCTTGTTAGGAGGGGTCAGTCCTTGGAAAATGACATTATACTTGGAAAGGTAGATTGTCTGCAAAAGAGGGAAAGACTCTTAACAAGATGGATTGACATTGTTACTGTTTTGCTATTGTAACTTGGGTTCGAGTGGATCAGACATGATGAAAATGGCACATGATAGGACAGATTCAGATCTGTTGTTCGTAGGGTCACCATGAGTCGTAGTTAACTGGATATCTTTCCAACAGTTTGCTTCACTGGGGAAAGCTGAGGTAGTCTGTTTCCATAAAGACATGGATCCACAGAAACCCTGAGGGGAAATTCTACAGGGTCACTATAAGTCAGAATGAGTCCAGTTATCTCTGCTCAGGTTATCCAACCAGTAATCTTCATCCTTCTTTGTTACTCGCTTGGTTTTGCCATGTTCTGTAGGTGTCTTTTCTCCTTCTCATCTTTTCCACTCTCACTGTCCATTTCTGCCTTTCTTTCTCTCAACTCCCATGTCCGCCTCTCAACTGTCATTGTGTTGCACTGTGGTGGCTTGAATGTTGCTATGATGCTGGAAGGTGTGTGACCCATATTTCACACTCTAGCAGGGTCACCAGTGGTAGACAGGTTCAGGGGAGCTTCCAGGTTGTGACAGACTGGCCATCCACTTCTGAAATAATGGGTCCTTGAAAACTCTAGGAAGCAGCAGAACATTATCTGACATGGGTGCCAAAAGATGAGCCTTTGGAAAGCACTCAGAAGACAACTGGATGAAGAAGAACTACCTTCTCAAAGTAGAGTCTACTTAGACATGAGTGGAGTATAACTTTCACCCAGTGAAGGATCTCCATTTGGTGATGTGGCATGACTCAAAATGAGGAGAAACAGTTGCAAACATTCATTACTATTGAAATAATAGTGTATGAATTATTAATCTCAGAAAGTTGGAAGTTGTAACAAAATAAAATGGAAAATATAAAGATCAATATCCTAGGCATTAGTGAATAGAAATAGGTTGCTATTTGCCATTTTGAATCAGATAGTCATATATATATATGTATGATTTTAAAAGGTGACCCAACAGAGTGTGGAAATTATCAAACAATATCACTGATATCACACACAAGCAAAATTCTGCTGAAGATTATTCAGAAATGACTAGAACAGTAGTACATCAACAGAGAACTACCAAAAATACAAGCTGGATTTAGACGAGGTCTTGACACTAGAGATATTATTGCCAGTGTCAGATGGATCTTGGCAGAAAGCAAAAAGTACCAGAATAATGTCTGTCAGTGTTTCATTGTTTATGCAAAGGCATTTGACTGTGGATCACAACAAATTGTGGCTAACCTTGAGAAGAACAGGAATCCCAGAACACTTGATTGTGCTCATGCAAAACCTATAGTCAGACCAAGAAGCAGTCCATAAAAAAGAGCAAGGGAAAAAAACCAGGAAAGGAGTGCATCAAGGATGTGTCCTGTCTCCATACCTTTTCAATCTATATGCAGAACAGATCATTCAAGAGGCTGGGCTTTAAAAATAGGAATGTGGCACCAGAAGTGGAGGAAGACTCATTAACAACCTATGTTATGTAGCTGATACAACCTTGTTTGTTGAAACTGAGAAGGACCTGAAGCGCTTGCATCAGAAAGTCAAGGACTGTAGTCTTCAATATGAATTGAAGCTCAACATCAAGAAGACAAAGATTCACACCACTGGACCAATTGGCAGCACCATGATAGATGGAGAAGAGATTGAGGTTGTTAATAATTTCATCTTGCTCAGCTCCACAATCAACACTTTTGGCACTGGCAGTCAGGAAATCAAACGACGAATTGCACTTGGAAAATCTGCTGTGACAGACCTCTCCAGAGTACTGAGAAACAATGATGTCAGCCTAAAGACTAAGTTGTGCCTGATCAGGCCATGGTCTTTGCACTTAATTCCTATGAATCAGAGAGCTGGACAATTACTAAGGGTGACAGAAGAAGAATTGATTGCTTTGACTTGTGTTGGAGAAGAGTTTTAAACATACCATGGACCGCCAAGAAAACAAATCTGTTTGGAGAAGGTGAAACTAAGTTTCTCATTGAAGGCTAAGTTGTTGAAGCTCCATTGCACATACTGGGCACGTGGTCAGGAGGGACCAGTCCTTGGAAAAGGACATCATACTAGGAAGGGTGGAGGGACAGCACAGGAGAGGAAGACTCCATATTAGATGGACTGGTGCAAAAACTAGGGCAATGGTGTTGGTGTGTCGGAGTCAGCGAGACTAACTCTGGAAAGGGTAGGCTTCAGAGATGTTGTACATAAGGTCGCTATGAGTGGTGGGTGACTTAACAACATCAACGACATGCCAGGAGTGAAAAATTGAAGAGGAATGGTGTTTCATTGATCATCAAAAACCATTTGAAGATCTTTGAAAAAAATCTGTGATTTGCAAACTTTCACTTAAATAAAATAAAAAAAATTTTTCTCCTGAAGTACAATGCTAAGAGTGACACGATAATATCCATATTATCACACATATAAGGAAGATCTGTTACTATAACTATTATTCAAATATATGCACCAACCACCAAAGCTAAAGATGAACAAATTGAGGATTTATACTCATGTCTGCAGTCTGAAATAGATCAAATATGCAATCAAGATGGATTAATTATGACTGATTGGAATGCAGAAGTTGAGAATGAAAATAAATTGGGGAAATATGGCCATGGTGGCAGAAATTAAGCTGGTGATGTTATTGTTGTTATGTGCCGTTGAGTCACCTGCGACTCAGCGATGCTATGTACAACAGGCCTAAATCCATCTCTATCCCTTGCCAATCTTATTGTCTCCAACACACCTATCCCCATTATGCCATCCAAATCAATCCATCTCATCGAGGGTCTTTCCCTACTGTGCTGTCCCTCAACCCTCCCAAGCATGATGTCCTTCTCCAAGGACTGATCTCCCCTTGCAAAATGTCCAAAGTATGTCAGACGAAACTTCAGAATCCTTGCCTCCAAGGAGCAGCCTGTCTTCACCCTCTCTGAGAAGAACTTGTTTTCCTAGTATACCATAACATGGTATATTCAATACTCTTCTCCAGCACCACAGCTCAAAGGCATCAATTCTCCTATCATCCCTAGTCATTGTCCAGCTCTCTGATACATAGCAAGTGATTACAAAGACCATGACCTGTATCAGGCGCACCTCAGTCTCCAGACTGACATTGTTGCTCTTCAGTACTTTGGAGAGGTCTCTTGACAGCAGACTTTCCCAGTGCAATTCGTCTTTTATTTTCCTGGCTGCTGGTACCAAGAGTGTTGATTATAGAGCCAAGCAAACTGAAGCTGTCAACAATCTCTATCTCTCCACCATCTATCATGATGCTGCCAGTTGGCCCAGTGATGAGAATATTTTTCCTTGATGTTGAACTTCAATTCATATTGAAGACTGCAGTCCTTGATCCTCTGCAGCAAGCACTTCAGGTCCTCCTCAGTTTTAGCAAGCAGGGTTGTGTCATCTGCATAACACAGATTGTTGATGCGTCTATCTTCAATCTTGGTGCCACACTTCTCCCTGGGTAATCTGTTCCACATATAGATTGAAAAGATATGGAGATAGGACACATCTTTGATGCACACCCTTCCCAATTTTGAACGATGCAGTGTTTCCTTGCTCTGTTCTGATGACTTCCTCCTGGTTCAAGTATAGGTTTCGCATAAGCACAATCAAGTGTTCTGGGATTCCCATTCTTCTCAGAGTCAGCCACAGTTTATTATGATCCACACAGTCAAGTGCCTTTGCAATGAAACACAGATAGACATTCCTCTGGTGCTCTCTACTTTCAGCCATCCATCTGATATTAGCTATAATATCCCTAGTGCCATGGCCTCTTCTAAATCCAGCCTGTACTTCAGACAGTTCTCTGTTGATGTGCTGTTCTAATCGTTTTTGGATGATCTTCAGAAGAATCTTGCTTGCGTGTGATATCAATGATATTGTTTGATAATTTCCACACTCTGTTGGGTCACCTTTCTTTGGAATGGGAACAAATATAGATCTCTTCCAGTCAGTAGGCTAAGTGGTTGTTCTCCAGATTTCTTGACACAACTTGATTATATATCAAATCTATAGGATTCATCAGCCTCTCCTGGGAAGCTCTTTTAGCATAAATGGAGGAGAAGATGCCCTAAGGCATAAGAAGTCAAACCTGGAGCAAAAATTCAAAACTCCTAAAGTCTAGAGATACTGCCCACAGAGGAAAAAACTGGCAGCAGCTTGAGGTGTGAGGAATCACAGAAGCCCAGAAAGATTGACATTTAGGCCATCACATCAAGAAAAGAAAACTAGAGATAGTATCGAATTTTTAAATAATCAATGATTTATTCATTGCAAACATGGTTTTTGATTACACATATGAACTTCACCTAATGGAATACACAGGAGTCAGATTGACTCTATCTGTGGGAAGAGACAGTACAGAGATTAATATTTGTCAGAACAAGGCCAGTGGCCTAATATGAAACAGATCATCAGTTGCTCATATGCAAATTCATATTGAAGCTGAAGGAAATGAAAACACATCCACAAGAGCCAAAAACCAACCTTGAGTTTATCCTACATGAATTTAGAGACTGCTTTAAAAACAGATTTGATGAATGAATGATAGAAGGAGCAAAGACCAGACGAGTTGTGGGATAACATCAAGGCCATCATCCATGAAGAAAGCAAAGTCTATGAAAAAGACAGGCAAGAAAGAAAAAGCCACAATGGATGTTAGATGAGACCCTTAAGCTTGCTTTTGAATATAGAAAAGATGAAGGAAAGGAAGAAATGAAATAAAGGAGATTGCAAAGGGTAGTCAGAGAAGACAAAGCAAAGTATAATCATGAAATATGTGAAGAGCTAGAGTTAGGAAACCAAGAGAGAAGAACATGTTTTATATTTCTCAAACTAAAAGAACTGAAGAACAAATTCAAGTCTAGAGTTGCAGTCCTGGAGAATTCTATGCAATACTGAAAATACTGAATGATGTCGGTTGCATCAACAAGAAATGGAGAGAATACACAGAGTCACTATACTGAAAAGAATTGGTTCACACTGAGCCATTTCAGGACATTCCGTCTGTCAAGAACCAATTGTACGAAGGAAGAAGTCCAGGTTGCACTGAAGGCATTGGCCAAAAATAAAGCTCCAACAGTTGACACAATAACAACTGAGGGGTCTTATCAGACTGTTGCAGTGCTGGATGTGCTCACTCATCTATTTCAGGATATATGGATTCAACTACTTGGCCAGCCAACTGGAAGATATATGTGTACCCACTTTAAAAAAAATCCAAAAGAATGTGAAAACTATCAAACCATATAATTAATATCTTACACAAGTAAAATCTTTGTGAAGATTATGCAAAATCTGCTACAGCATTACATAGACATTCAAACTGGATTCAGAAGCGATCATGGGACAAGGGAGAGTGTTGCTGATGTCAGATTGAACTTGGTTCAAAGTAGAGAGTATCAGAAAGGTGATTGTGTTTTTAGTGACTATGCAAAGATGTTCAAGTGTGTGTATTGTAAAAAATTTTGAAGAATAAGAATTCTGGAATACTTAATTGTGTTCATTTGGAACCTGTACATGAACCAAGAGGCAGTCACTTGAAGAAAACAAGGGAATACTACATGGTTTAAAATCAGGAAATATATGTATCTTTTTACCATATCCAATCAATCTGCATAATGACCAGATAGCCAAGAAGCTAGACTTTGTATTTAGCTTATTGTATCAGGATTGCAAGGAAGGCTCATCAGCAGCCTGTAATATACAGACGACACAACCTTGCTGGTTGGAAATGAAGAGGACTTGAAGCATGTATGGAAGGTAAAAAACTACAATCTTCAGTATAGAGTATGTCTCAACATCAAGAAGACAAAAAATCCTCCTCATGATAGGCAACATCTTGATGACTAGAGACAAAATTGAAGTCAAGGATTTCATCTTACTTGGATATATAATCTATATCTTTGGAAAAAGCAGTCAAGAAGTCAAATTACATATTGCATTGGGCAATGCAGCAGATTTCTGTCACTAACGTGCTAAAGAAGAAGGCCGTCAGTTTAAAGACTAAGGTGCTCCTGACATATTTTCTTTTTTTTTTTTCAGCTTTGACCCATGTTTAATAAGAGCAATTTGCCCAGCACGCAAATCTTCACTAGAACAGTGGAGACCAACACTTTTCATGTTTTTCACCACCACAAGACCAGTTTTCTTCACCTGTCTTCTGGTCATGTTTTCATTATCACCTGTGGAGCCAGGCTCTCCCTCTTCTTTTTTTCCTGAGATTTGTGCTTTTGGATTTGTACTCCTGGGAAGAGCTCCATCCAGAGACTGAGCAGAGTGAAAAGGTTGACTTTAGAAAGCCTTGGTACTTGACTGTCTTGCCAGTCTGCATGCTCACTGACCGCCCGACACCCGCAGTCTCCAGGTTTTGCATCTGCTCTGCTTCTTTCATCCCAGCCCACTAGGCTTCTGCTGCCCGAGAAGCCCCTCTCTGTCAGACATGATCTCGACCCCAATGCCCCCTCGTTTGGCTTCCTCCCATCAATGGTAAAGCAACCGCCCCCAGGGCGGCCCCGCCGGCTGCCGCACCAATCCCCCTGACATATTTTCTTATGCATGTGAAAGTTAGGCAGTGAAGAAGGAAGACTAAAGACAAATTGATGCCTTTGAATTGTGGTGTTGGCAAAGAGTATTGACTATGTGATGGCTTGCCAAAAGAACAAACGTACATGTCTTGGAGGAACTGCAGTTAGTGCTCCTTAGAGACAAAGATGGTAAAACCTCATCTCATATGTTTTGGGCATGTTATCAGGAGGGGCCAGACCTTGGTAAAGGATATTATGCTTGAAAAAGTAGGGAGTCAGTAGTGGAGAGGAAGATCTTCAATGATACACTAAAAAAAAAAAGAAACTCAAGTTCATTACTATCAAGTTGGAACCGGCTCAGAGCTGACCCTCCAACAGAGCTTTCAGAAGCAGTAAATGGCAGTGGAGGTGATTGCCCGTCTTTATCCCATGCAACTTCTAGTAGAGCCAAACCATTAGAGAGGTGCCACTTTGGGTTAGCAAAGGCTACACCCTGCTGATTATGCCCCCCCATCCTTCCCATTGAAATTGATCGACTTAATGAGCACAACAAATGGGCTAAGAATGGTGAAGATAGTGATGACGGTGCAGGATCAAGCAGGATTTCCATCTGTGGTCCATAGGATTGCTTTGAGATGGGGGAGACACCATCTGACAACAGCAAAATCTTCATGACGTCATATATTGACTCATTCATCTATTATATTTTACACACCACACACTGGTCCTAGCCCGTGTTTGTAGTGCTGAGGGCAGGCAATGAACAATAATGAGGACAGAATAGTAAGTGCCATTGAGACATGTCCAACTCATGGTGCCCCTTTATTGGGCGTCCAAGGCTGAGAATGCCCATCTTTCTTCCTTGGAGCAGCTGGTGGACTTGAACTACTAGCCTTTAAATTAGCAGCCTGACGAGTAACACACTGTACCAGAGGTCCTTGACAACTAGGAAATGATCTAGTTTGTTAGGAACTGATCTATGCTGTGGACAAAAGGGGGATTACAATTCTGGCTAGGGTAGTCAGGAAAGGTCTTACTAAGCAAAAGAGAGTTGGGAAAGAGTCATATTGACACCAAAGGAAGAACATTCATCAGAATAGCCAGTGCAAAGTCCCCGAGGCAGGGAGTAGCTGGAGTGTTGGAATAAGCAGGAGGAGCAGTGTGAAAAAGGGGGAGCTTGGAAGGAAGTGAGGGCAGAGAAGTGATGGGACAGATCACGTGGGGCCTTGTGAGCCACAGGAAGAATGTGTGGTTTTCCTCTAAGTGAGAGGAGCCGTGGAGGATACTGATGTGTCTTTTCTCTTCTCTTCTCTCTCCCACCTTCTTCTTGCACTCTTCCTCCAGTGGCCTCTGAAGCTATGGCCTTCGGGTGAGTAGTTTGGGCACTGGAGGTGGGAGAGTTCTGGGATATGAAGCCTAGGAGGAGTTCTTGCTTTCTTTCTCCCATGACCCCATGACTCCATGACCATCTTCTCATCTTGTCACAGTACATTCTACTGAGAAGGAGCCTGGAACAGCATTTTCCAGATCTTTTAATCTTTGTAAGTGGACTTGGGGTAGTTGAGGGTCTGGAGACCTCCATAGAAGGGGCGTAAGGAGGCCTCAGAAAAGAGTTCTCCTCTTCCCTCACCCCTTACCCTTCCATTCTCAGGAGGAGAGCATTTCTGCGCAAGCTACAGGAGAGTTTGAAGTGTTTGTGGATGGGAAACTGGTCCATTCAAAGAAGGTGATTCTGAGCAAGAGTCCCAGACAGAAGTGGAGGGTGGCGCTGGCTTTTGAGAGGGTCAGATGAGACACGTCTGTGTTTTATGCTTAGAAAGGTGATGGCTTCGTGGATGATACCAGCCTGTGGAAAATTGTGAGCAGCATTCATGAGGTGATCCATAAGAAGGAAGGCAACAACATTCCAGGTGGAGAAGAGGTAAGGACTTGCAGCAGCACAGGTGGGAGGGGTGGTGGCTGGAATTGGAGCAGGTGAGTGGAAAGAGGGGTGGACCTCTATCTCGGAATAGTGAACACCTAGTTTCAATCCAGGGAGCTCTGGTGGCCTAAGGGTAAGAAGCTGTGCTGCAATCCTGGAGGCAATGTGGTTCGAATCTACTAGCTGCTCTGTTGGAGAAGGATGAGGTCTCCTATTCAATTAACCCCCTCTGATAAACCTGTCAGAGGGTCAGCTATGAGTCAGTTCCTACTCAATGGCACACAATAACAACAATAACAATAGTTTCAACCTTAGCTCAGGCAGACCTCACTCTTAATACTAGCTACAAGCCACTGAAGCCTTTTCTTTCTTTTTTTCCCTCTTGTAACTTTAATGGTAACAATGCTATTTATTTTTTCTCTCCTTACCTCTCTTTTATAAGCCCCAGATCATACTCTCTAAATCAAAATTTTTGAAAGGAGCTTTCCTCGGGAATCAAATGACAATTCTCACTCTTCCAAACATCTAAATTGAAGATCTATCAAAAGCAAAACAAAAATGGGGGAGGGGAGTCCACACAGAAATAGAAAGTAACAAAAGTCAATTCTAGGAGTTTCATGCTTGGCGGACTTCCAGGCTGAATGATCCTTAAACTGTCTTTCGGAAAACTAACACCCTACAGCATTAAAATAGACATTTAAAAAAATTGGTTTTTAAAAATTAAACATAATACAGGGTGAAGTCTCTCTCAGGGAGGAGTGATAGGGAATGGCAAAGGACACACTGACAAAGAAGATTAATCAGAACTGGCTTTGACAAGCACTGTGGCATTTGGATACGAACAAACTGGGAGGAGGGTAGAGAGAATAGTGCAACAATGAATGAATGGAAACCCAAAATCTCTGTAAATGTTTATGAAAATTAATAAAATATAATTATAGAAAAAAAATAAAAATTAAACATAATAATAATAATAAAAAAAAGAAAAACCCCTTAAGGAATTTACAATCAATTGCCTGACTCGGGACTTGGTCTAAGTGTGAAGATCAGAGTGGCTGTGTGTACAGCACACTGTGCATATTGCACACCTGGCCAGTGAGGCTTGTCTGTCTTCCATACAGTGTAAAATAATTCCAAGTAAGAAGGGACACAGTGTCCTTGGAGAATTCCACAGGACCGTACAGACACCCGAGCTGTTCTTCATAGAGTGACAAGGGCGTCAGTCAAATTGACACAGCTCCCCTGGGTGAAGTGTTTCCCATCCTGTTTCAAGACTTTAATCGAAAGGTCAAGAATCAGATAGAAAAACTCCCATGAGGAATTTTCCTCTGCAGATGTGGAGATTGAAACAGCTGTCAAACCATTAATCACATAATCAAACTCCTCGCTCTTTGGTGTGTCTCTTCAGGACTGGAATGTCTTCAGTTAGAACCTGACAGCATTCTCCTTTAATGTTGTCTAAGACCTCACTGTATGTTTTTTGCTTGGATTTCTTATACTCATCAGTCACCATTTGGTCCGTCTCGACCATAGTGACCATCTTTGGTTTCAGTTTGACTATTTCACATAAAATGCCTCCACCTCCACCCCCCAGAATCAGCACATCTTTGCCAGTGTTATCTTTCCCACTGCCCATGATGTCCCAGGTACGTGCCAGATCACTCCCTGCCAAATTGACAGCCTCGCTGAGGATGAGAATTATTTCCAAATTGCTTTGGGTTTAGAATCTTAGATAAGGTGAATTTTCATCATATATTACTTTATCAATGTCATACTCCACAGGTGCCTGTCAACAGTGGCCAGTATCTGTGACGATGGCCCCTCCTCAAACTATGGGTGGTAATCGCGTCACCTTCGCAGCACTATCCTGACTCAGTTCTTTCACTTTTTCTTCTACTTTATTCAAAAGACTGTCAGTTTTAGGGAGCTCTGGTGGCCTAGTGGCAAGACGCTGCACTGCAATCCCAGAGGTACGTGGTTCAAATCCACCAGATGCTCTGCTGGAGAAGGAGGGGGCAATTTCCTCCTGTACCAGTCAGATCTGATTTGACGGTAAACATAAAAATAATATAGTAAAAATAAAAAAATAATTTAAAAAAAGACTGTCAGTTTTTTTGTTGCTTTGGGTGTCATTGTCATTTCTCCGAAGAACTAGTAATACCAGTCCATGGGGGTAAATTCTCAAATTGGCAAAGCTACTGGTTTATTGTTGTTGTTTTTTTATTTGTTTTTGTGTGTGTGCACATTGCCAGGTAGCCATTGGCCTTTCAGGTGTATACCAATTCCATCATTTCTTGTGCCTGAAAAATGAACTGGAGGCCTTTTAGAATGGTTTTGCCAGCAGCTTTGTCACCAGGCATGAAGTCCAGGATGCTATTGCCCCAGGCCATGCCTTAGGAGGTGGAGGGAGTGTGGGCAGTGGGCGGTGGTGGTAGACACCCAGCTGAAGCCCTTTTCTGAGGCTCAGTTTCCTCATCTATAAAATGAGGCTTATAGATTCATAAGTTGGATCGTGTAAGGTAATAAAGCAGTAAACAGCACTCCAGATGTAGTGCATGACAAGGAATAAGTATATACTGGGATACTGGGTGGGATTCCCCCACTGCCCCGGCCCTTTTAAAAAGTTGTTGTGTGCCATGAAGTTGGAACCTACTCATAGCAGACCCTCTAGAGGGTTTTCAGAGGCTGTAAATTGCATGGGAGGAAATTGCCCATCTTTCTTTCTCCCAAGGAGCTGCTGGTGGATTTGAGCCACATGTGCAACTCCTTACCACTAGGCCATTAGATCTCCCTTTTTTCCCCCCAGGTCTCCGTTTTTTAAAAGGAGCTTCTGAATTTTATTTTTGGTGTTCTGTTTATGCTATCTACCAGTCTTCCCCACTCCCAGCTTTGACCCTTTTTGATCTTCTAGGATCTTTATAGTTATTTTGTTGTTACCATCATGTCAGAACTGACCCATAGCTGATCCTCTAGCAAGTTCTGAGGCAGTAAAATCACACAGGAGGAGATTGTCCATTTGTCTTCTGTGAAATAACTTGGTGAATTTGAACCACATGCCTTTGGGTTGGCAGTACAGCTCCTTACCACTAAGCAACTTTAGGCTTTGTATTTAGGTCTTTGATCCAATTTGGATTAGTTTGTACATGTGGCCTGAGGTTTAGATCCTGTTTAATTTTTCTATAGGTTGTTGTTGTTGTTGTTGTATGCCCTTGAGTCACCTGTGACTCATAGCAACCCTATGTTCACTAGCCCTGAACCCCGCCATGCCTTAGGAGGTGCTGGAAGAGTGTGGCTCCAGAGATGGAACCATTCTCACTGACTCAGACACACCTACCCCCATTACACCAGTTACTGTGTCAATCCATCTCATCTGCTGTCTTATTCTCCTGCGCTGTCCCTCCACCCTTCCAAGCATGATGGCCTTCTCCAAAGAACAGTCCATCCTGTCTGACCGTGTTTCTAAAGTATGTGAGATGGTGTTTCAAAATCTAGCCTCTAAGGAGAAACTTGGTTTCACCCTCTTGGCTGTCCATGGTATGTTCAAGACTCTTCTC